ATCCCCCGGGTAGCCTTAACAGACTGTTGGGGCAAGTGCTGTTAGCGAGCACCTATGAAGCCCTGAACGCTACGCGAACGGGGATAGGTGGCCGCCACCACCACGCCCGGCCGCCTTTGTGTCCCCAGTGGCGATGTTGACTACACACCGCAATAGGTACTCATTTGAGGCCGAGTCGACCTAGGGGAGGAGGCCCAGGACCGGTTCAGACAATCGCCACCACTGTTGGCCGCGAGAGGGGGGGGATCGAACTCGGGTGGCCGGGTTCGTAGCGCAGCGTAGCGCTAACCGCTGCACACGCCGTCTGGAGACGACACGCACGCACAAGGCAGGTTGCCACAGTGGCTCTGCAGGCTCACGTGCTGCGTGAGCAGCCACGCAAGTGCAATACAGCAACAACAAAAACAATTGTTGCACGCCACCTCTATGCTCCCACGACTAGCGCTCGCCAGCCTTCACCGACCCGCAACTCGCACGGCGTGGGAACGGAGGATCCCTCGGCCAACAATGGCAGCTGGTTATGATGACACCATACATGGGGTGCTGCAGCGGCGAGATGTTAACGACCTCGCCTGGTATACAGGAGGTCGTGGGTTCGATCTTGACCCTGACGCCTGCTGCTGTGTATTTGGAGTTTGCGTGTCTCTCTCTCTCTCATCACGATGGCTAGATGTTAACTACCTCGCCCGTTATACAGGAGGTTGTGGGTTCGATCCCGACACTGACGCCTGCTGCTGTGTATTTGGAGTTTGCGTGTCTCTCTCTCTCTCATCACGATGGCTAGATGTTAACTACCTCGCCCGTTATACAGGAGGTTGTGGGTTCGATCCCGACACTGACGCCTGCTGCTGTATATTTGGAGTTTGCATGTCTATCTCTCTCATCACGATGGCTAGGAGATGTAACTACCTCGCCTGGTATACAGGAGGTCGTGGGTTCGATCCCGACCCTGACGCCTGCTGTATATTTGGAGTTTGCGTGTCTCTCTCTCTCATCACGATGGCTAGGAGATGTTAACTACCTCGCCTGGTATACAGGAGGTCGTGGGTTCGATCCCGACCCTGACGCCTGCTGCTGTATATTTGGAATTTGCGTGTCTCTCTCTCTCATCATCATCACGGTGGCTAGGAGATGTTAACTACCTCGCCCGTTATGCAGGAGGTCATGAGTTCGATCCCGACCCTGGCGCCTGCTGCTGCTGCTGTATATTTGGAGTTTGCGTGTCTCTCTCTCTCATCATCATCACGGTGGCTAGGAGATGTTAACTACCTCACCCATTATACAGGAGGTCGTGAGTTCGATCCCGACCCTGGCGTCTGCTGCTGCTGCTGTATATTTGGAGTTTGCGTGTCTCTCTCTCATCATCATCACGGTGGCTAGGAGATGCTAACTACCTCGCCTGGTGTGCAGGAGGTCGTGGGTTCGATCCCGACCCTGGCGCCTGCTGCTGTATATTTGGAGTTTGCGTGTCTCTCTCTCTCATCACGATGGCTAGGAGATGTTAACTACCTCGCCCGTTATGCAGGAGGTCGTGAGTTTGATCCCGACCCTGACGCCTGCTGCTGCTGTATATTTGGAGTTTGCGTGTCTCTCTCTCTCATCATCATCACGGTGGCTAGGAGATGTTAACTACCTCGCCTGGTGTGCAGGAGGTCGTGGGTTCGATCCCGACCCTGACGCCTGCTGCTGCTGTATATTTGGAGTTTGCGTGTCTCTCTCGCCGCGGTCGCGTGGATTTTCCTCTGGGTTCTCCGGTCTCCCCCCCGCGCCCCCTCCACATTATCACGCGTTCAGACTAATTTGGTTGCTTACATTTTCACGTGATGATGATGATAATAAGCCGCCAACTTCGTGGAACTATCATTTGTGACAGCCAGGTCGTCGTCTTCTGTAAAAATAGCTACAACATAAGCTCAGTGGGGGGGGGGGGGGGGGGGGGTGGGTGCTTACTTAGTAACTTGTTTAGTTTCGTAATCTTTCGCGTAAAATTTACAAAATTCGCATCGAGTCGTCTTTGCCGTCTTCTTATTCTTCTTCTTCACACCATCGACAAATGTCAACTCGACCGCGCGCCAAGCGAAACCCACGAGCGGATTAAAGCGCACACATCGATTAATCGTAACGGGCGGATTAAAGCGCACACATCGATTAATCGTAGCGGGCGGATTAACGCGCACACATCGATTAATCATAACGGGCGGATTAAAGCGCACAAATCGATTAATCGTAGCGAGCGGATTAAAGCGCACACATCGATTAATCGTAACGAGCGGATTAAAGCGCACACATCGATTAATCGTAGCGGGCGGATTAACGCGCACACATCGATTAATCATAACGGGCGGATTAAAGCGCACAAATCGATTAATCGTAGCGAGCGGATTAAAGCGCACACATCGATTAATCGTAACGAGCGGATTAAAGCGCACACATCGATTAATCGTAGCGAGCGGATTAAAGCGCACAAATCGATTAATCGTAGCGAGCGGATTAAAGCGCACACATCGATTAATCGTAACGAGCGGATTAACGCGCACAAATCGATTAATCGTAGCGAGCGGATTAAAGCGCACAAATCGATTAATCGTAACGAGCGGATTAAAGCGCACACATCGATTAATCGTAGCGAGCGGATTAAAGCGCACACATCGATTAATCGTAGCGAGCGGATTAAAGCGCACACATCGATTAATCGTAGCGAGCGGATTAAAGCGCACACATCGATTAATCGTAGCGAGCGGATTAAAGCGCACACATCGATTAATCGTAGCGAGCGGATTAAAGCGCACACATCGATTAATCGTAGCGAGCGGATTAAAGCGCACACATCGATTAATCGTAGCGAGCGGATTAAAGCGCACACATCGATTAATCGTAACGAGCGGATTAACGCGCACAAATCGATTAATCGTAGCGAGCGGATTAAAGCGCACAAATCGATTAATCGTAACGAGCGGATTAACGCGCACAAATCGATTAATCGTAGCGAGCGGATTAAAGCGCACAAATCGATTAATCGTAACGAGCGGATTAAAGCGCACACATCGATTAATCGTAGCGAGCGGATTAAAGCGCACACATCGATTAATCGTAGCGAGCGGATTAAAGCGCACACATCGATTAATCGTAACGAGCGGATTAAAGCGCACAAATCGATTAATCGTAGCGAGCGGATTAAAGCGCACACATCGATTAATCGTAACGAGCGGATTAAAGCGCACACATCGATTAATCGTAGCGAGCGGATTAAAGCGCACACATCGATTAATCGTAGCGAGCGGATTAAAGCGCACACATCGATTAGTCGTAGCGAGCGGATTAAAGCGCACACATCGATTAATCGTAGCGAGCGGATTAAAGCGCACAAATCGATTAATCGTAACGAGCGGATTAAAGCGCACACATCGATTAATCGTAGCGAGCGGATTAAAGCGCACAAATCGATTAATCGTAGCGAGCGGATTAAAGCGCACAAATCGATTAATCGTAGCGAGCGGATTAAAGCGCACACATCGATTAATCGTAACGAGCGGATTAACGCGCACAAATCGATTAATCGTAGCGAGCGGATTAAAGCGCACACATCGATTAGTCGTAGCGAGCGGATTAAAGCGCACACATCGATTAATCGCAAGGGGGACACAACACGTGTGTGACCTCGCGCGAGCCGAGAGGGTGATCGATGGGGGCACGGTGAGGTCGTCATCCAGCAGCGGAGAGAGAGAAACCCCCAACACGCAAATGGTTGTTGTGGGTTGTTGTGGGTTGCCGTGCCTCGCAACGAATGGGCACGTTCTGTTTACGTGACAAAAAACCTTTACTAAACCACCTATATTCTTGGTTCTTTCGGTAAAGTCACGTAGAAGAAGGGAAATAATACAATCATAAAAATATTAAACGATAAAATCCTCACGACGTTTCGATTGCAACACAAGCAATCATCATCAGGTGTGAAAACCACAGCAAGAACATTTGAAGAAAAAAAAATGCAAGACAATTTGAAAAAGTTTTCTGTGGTTTTCACACCTGATGATGATTGCTTGTGTTGCAATCGAAACGTCGCGAGAATTTTATTGTTTCATATTTTTATTATTTTATTATTTCCCTTCTTCTTCTACGTGACTTTACCGAAAGAACCAAGAATATGAATCCCTGCAGTCACGAAAGCTTTAAATCGAAATAAACTGCCTACATTACGGATGATATTGATCGCAAAACGCCCGACTAACCATCACCACCACCACTGCTGCTACGACTTACGCGTTAATAAACTAACGTGGAGGTTTATAATTGTTTTACCCTTCTATCTGGCAACAAAACTGACACTTTTTTACAAGGAGTCATGTTTGCATAGACCACAATACCTGCAGCCATAATGCAAACAAAAAACACAACTCTGATAATGTGCACTGACTTGTGTTTTTTTTTGCATTATGACCGCAGGTATTGTGGTCTATGCAAACATGACTCCTTGTAAAAAAAGTGTCAGTTTTATTGCCAATAGAAGGGTAAAAAAAACAATTATCATATTCTTAGGTTTTTTCGGTAAAGTCACGTTGGTAAAACATCAAAATTAATAAAAATAAAATATTTTATTTTACTTTTATTAATTTTGATGTTCTACCTACGTGACTTTACCGAAAAAACCTAAGAATATGAATCCTTGCAGTCACGAAAGCTTCAAATCTCGAAACAATTATCATATTCTTTACGGAGTAACGTGGAGTTTGTTTACAATCGCCGGTGCCGTTCATATTTCCCAGCTCGCATAAGCGCTCGACCCCCCCCCCTCCAACCCCCCCTCGCGCCATTGGCCCCTGCGGCCCACGTGACGCGGCGTTCGTCCAATGGGCGTGGTAATGCCACGCTTATCTGCACTGGGAAATCTCAAGGGAGGGCGTGGCCACCCCCCCCCCCGTTCGAAGCGAAGCAAAAAAATGGAGAAAAAAAAGCCGCGAATTGGAACTGCGGCGGCGTCGTTCGGCAAACTCGGCACTCGCCTTCGTCGTAGTGTCCGCAGTCCTGCAGCTCGGCGAAGTACTCCTCCGTCTCCTGCAGGTTGTTCTGGAAGTGCTGCTTGAGGCGGCCGAAGGCGCGGAAAGTGCGCGCCAGCTCCTTGGCGAGCAGCGCGGGCGACGCGACGAACCAACGAGTCGACGCGTCCGCCATCATGAACTGGGCGGCTCGGGAGGGGGGGGGGCAGCTGTGCAGGGGGCGGGGCAATGAGGGGGGGGGGCGGCTGTGGAGGGGGGCGGGGCGATGGGTGGGCGGGGCAATGGATGGAGGGGGGCGGGGTAATGAGGGGTGGGGCAATGGGGAGGGTGGAGCAGTGGGTGTAGGGGGGTGGGGTAATGGGTGGAGGGGGGCGGGGTAATGAGTGGAGGGGGGCGGGGCAATGTGGGTGGAGGGGGGCGGGGTAATGAGTGGGCGGGGCGATGGGTGGAGGGGGGCGGGGCGATGGGTGGAGGGGGGCGGGGCGATGGGTGGAGGGGGGCGGGGTAATGTAGGAGGAGGGGTGGGGCAATGAGTGGGCGGGGCGCTGGGGAGGTGGGGCACTGGGTGGAGGGGGGCGGGGCAATGGGTGGAGGGGGGTGGGCTAATGAGTGGGCGGGGCGCTGGGGAAGGTGGGGCAATGGGTGGAGGGGGGCGGGGCAATGTGGGTGGAGGGGGGCGGGTAATGAGTGGGCGGGGCACTGGGTGGAGGGGGGCGGGGCAATGGGTGGAGGGGGGTGGGCTAATGATGGCGCGGGGCGCTGGGGAAGGTGGGGGCAATGGGTGGAGGGGGGCGGGGCAATGTGGGTGGAGGGGGGGCGGGGTAATGAGTGGGCGGGGCACTGGGTGGAGGGGGGCGGGGCAATGGGTGGAGGGGGGTGGGCTAATGAGTGGGCGGGGCGCTGGGGAAGGTGGGGCAATACGGGGGGGGGGGCGGGCAATGGAGGGAGGTGTGGTCAATAAAGGGGGGGGGGAATTTAGGGGGGCGGGGCAGTCGGGGGAGGGGCGCGATCAATTTGACTCAGAATTAGAATTTAGACAAGATGAGGAATCCGATGAGCTGTAAAGCTCTTTTCACAATGGGGAAAAGGGGTGGGGCAATAGGGAGAGAGGCGGGGGAGATTGGACAATGTGTCTCTGAATACAATTGAGTTTATACTGGTAGGAACGAAGTGAACCCGCCTACAATAGATTATATCGTCCGTCCGTCCGTCCGTGTAGCAACATCGCCCCCTACTGCAAACACTTGGCAGGACCCTACAAAAACCTTTAGACTCAGTGACGCTTTCCTGGCTAAACAAGTGCAACATTCCCTTATAATTCCCTAAATAGCTTTTAATTAAAACATTTAAATTAAAAATTAACTCACAGCGGCCTAAAGCCTACAGCTAGGCCTAAAGCCTAGAACTAGGCCTCAAACTCTCCCTTCGTATCATACCCCCGCGTGTGTGAAAGGGAGTTAATGTTTTACAATGTTACATTCCCTGATGTTTTTTTACAATAGAAACATTACATTTAAAGCTTTTACATTAATAATTAAAACATTTAAATTAAAAATTAACTCACAGCGGCCTAAAGCCTCCAGCTAGGCCTAAAGCCTAGAACTAGGCCTCAAACTCTCCCTTCGTATCGTCCGATTAGGTGTAGCAACATCGCCCCCTACTGCAAACACTTGGCAGGACCCTACAAAACCTTTAGACTCAGTGGGGCTTTCCTGGCTAAACAAGTGTAATAATACATTATGTTTATATTCTTTGGTTATTAGTTCCTACCAGCCCACCCCGCAGGGTCCTGTTTTATATTCTTTGGTTCTTTCGGTAAAGTCACGTAGGTGAAACCTGATGACGGACGCTTGTGTTGCGCCCGTTAATTTAGTTATTTTAATTTTTTATTTTATTTTAATTTTTTATTCTTATTTTCACCCACCCGATGCCATGGATCCTTGCAGTGACGAAAACTTCAAATCTAGAATTGAGTTTATTTAGTCATACACTCATACGTTTGAATTATTTGAGGTTGTATGCGTTAGTAGAGAGCGAATACTAGGTAACTATTCACGTGATAATAAACACACTTCACGAGGAGACGTTTTAAAGGTGTAATTATTGCCGTGTTCTATCATAATGCGCCAAACGAAGGGCCATTGCCCGAAACGTCCCCTCTACCATAGGGGCCGTCCATAATGACGTCACGCACCTGGGGGGGGGGGTCAGACATTTGTGACGATGTGTGACGAGGGGGGGGGGTTGAGAAATGTGACGTCACATCAAAATGCGCAACTTTAAATAAATATAGACAACACGTTCTACTTACTTAAATAGACTTGTAAATAAATGTTTTCTCCTACAACATCAGAGTGCAGCGCCACATTAAATACGCACTACAATGACAATTATTTAAAGCGATTCGAAGCATGTTTTATTTTCAAAATGCAAACATGGTTTTCGGGGGGGGGGAGGGGGGCAGAGCTTTGTGACGTCATATTTGAGGTGGGGGGGGCTGACTTTTTGTGACGCCGTGTAACGAGGGGTGGGGGGGGGGGTCAAAAATCGTCTAAAATCGCGTGACGTCATTTATGGACGGCCCCATATTTTTTTTTTCGCTTTCGGGCTGCACTGGGTGAGGCTTTACCTGGGAAACCTCAGCGGGATGAAGTGGGCGGGGCGAGATGGCCTTGGGGGGGAGGGGCTGTGGGTTAACTGGGGGATGGGGGCGGGGTTTGTGGGCTTTGGTTAAATTATTTCGGCTGTTTTGTACAGGACAGAGGTCGCAACCGGGTACCCGATACCCGTACCCTACCCGATACCCGGCTACTCGTACCCGGCCGGGGTACAGGTAGCCGTTTGCGACCCTGGTGCAGCCGGGTACGGGTAGGCCGTGAGTCACTGGTGAGTAACCATTTGTCACTCATTTCGGGTAGGGTACGGGTAGGGAACGGATACCCTATTCTTAGGTTTTTTCGGTAAAGTCACGTAGGTAAATTTTTTTAATTTAAATTAATAAAAGTAAAATAAAATAAAAATCACGACGTTTCGGAGGCAACACAAGCTTCCGTCTTCAGGCGGAACCGTCACAGCACGCTTGCTGTACCATTTGCGACCCTTGTGCGGCCGGGTACGGGTAAGGAATCAAAACCCGTTTGCGACCTCTGGTACAGGATGGTCCAGATGTCTTGTGACCTCCCCTCCCCCATTTAATTCTCTAAGCAAGTGATTCTTAACCTGGGGTGCACGCAATCCCTGGGGGGGTGGGGTTGGTGCGGGATGCCCTTTCTAAGGACCAAAACGGTGCAGGCTGCACTAAAGGTTAAGAAACCGCTGGTCTACATTATTAACTACACGAACTTGTAAGGAAAAAACATGCTAACGAAGACAATGGCTATATTACCAGAGGAGGTTGTTTGCATGCTTATCATGTGGAACTGTAAAGCAGCCAAATACTCTGAAAGCATGTTTCGAAATGTGGAGAGGAAAAACTGGAGGACCCCGAGAAAAATCCACACGGCTCCAGGGGGAGAGAGACACGCAAACTCCAAATATACAGCAGCAGCAGGCGTCAGGGTCGGGATCGAACCCACGACCTCCTGAATACGAGGCGAGGTAGTTAACATCTCCTAGCCACCGTGATGATGATGATGAGAGACACGCAAACTCCAAATATGCAGCAGCAGGCGTCAAGGTCTGGATCGAACCCACGACCTCCTGTATACCAGGCGAGGAAGTTAACATCTCCTAGCCACTGTGATGATGATGATGAGAGATAGAGACACGCAAACTCCAAATATACAGGAGTCAGGGTCAGGATCGAACGCACGACCTCCTGAATACCAGGCGAGGTAGTTAACATCGCATAGCCACTGTGATGATGATGAGAGAAAGAGACACGCAAACTCCAAATATACAGCAGGCGTCAGGGTCGGGACCGAACCCACGACCTCCTGTATACCAGGCGAGGTAGTTAACATCTCCTAGCCACCGTGATGATGAGAGAAAGAGACACGCAAACTCCAAATATACAGCAGGCGTCAGGGTCGGGATCGAACCAACGACCTCCTGAATACCAGTCGAGGGAGTTAACATCTCCTAGCCACTGTGATCATGATGAGAGAAAGAGACACGCAAGCTCCAAATATACAGGAGTCAGGGTCGGGACCGAACCCACGACCTCCTGAATACCAGGCGAGGTAGTTAACATCTCCTAGCCACTGTGATGATGATGAGAGAGAGAGACACGCAAACTCCAAATACACAGCAGGCGTCAGGGTCGGGATCGAATCCACGACCTCCTGTATATCAGGCGAGGAAGTTAACATCTCCTAGTCGCTGTTGCGCCCAGTATTAACCAGGGCCGCCTGCCGGATTCTAACCCGTGAAACCCCTGCGACAAGAGGCGAACGCATTGCGTAACTTCCTCACTTAACATAACTGACCCAACGTGGATTTCAAATTTTAAATACAACTCTTTCTGACCGTACGCATACATGTAGGCTGGCCTCAAGCGGGATATTTGACCGGGCGTAATGCGAACATTGTGTCACGGAAATGGGAAAAAAACGTGGGTCTCACCGCAACAGAAAATCTCCCCTCCCCTCCAAATAAACTTTGACGCAAACATTTTTTTCTTCCGTTTAAGGGCCACGGTGGTTTATTTACGAATGTGTTGAGTGTGCATTTATTTATTTCACTCTTCTTATTATTAAACTTATTCTTTCGTACGGCTGCTATTGTAGATTCCGAGCAACAACTACAATTTCACTGTCACGTGGTCGATCCAGCGGCGTCGTCGCATCATCATCGCTGTGACGTCTCCTTTTGTTCTCGATTTGAAGCTTTCGTGACTGCAAGGATTCATACTCTTGGGTTTTTTTTCGGTAAAGTCACGTAGGTAAAAAAATATAATAATAAAAGATAAATAATAATAAAAATAATAGAAGAAATAATAAAATAAAATAATAAAATTGTATTACTATTATTGCTTCTATTATTTTAAATATTAATATTTTATTCTTTATTTATTTTTACCTACGTGACTTTACCGAAAAAACCTAAGAGTATGTCTCCTTTTGTATTTGCGGGTCGTGATTGCGTCATTATGTGTGTGTACGGTCTGTTCTGGATGACCACAGTCGCACCGCCACCACTACTACTCCTACTACTGGAGAGTTTATTTCATTTAAACGCGGC